AAAGAGAACAGTTATTTTCTCGATTTTTTTAAGCTGAAAATTTCACCTTTCACAATTTTCTTTTATATGATTTTTGAAATGAATATCATACAATATATTAATTTTCGGAGTCACGGTTGCATACTAAAATCTAAATAAAGAAGAAATTAAATATCGTGATGATGTATAAGCCTGTTTTCTTGATTTGACACAGTCCTCTCGGTTGAAAGAATAATAAATATTTGTATGAATTCCCAAAAAAACGATATAAACATATTTTACTTTATACTCATTAATTTGCCATTTAAATTACTTGATAATAATATAATCAGGAAAAAAACCAATCATTCGTTCTCTTATCCTTGGTGAATTACGAAAATATCCGATACTTTAATATTATTAATATTATATCTGGTGGTTTCATATATGGTATTAAAATACTAAATATGGTAAATAAATGACTGGAAATCGTACGAAATAAATAAATATCGTGATCAATTCTTATTTTATATAATAATAAAAATTAAAGTCTGTCTGTTCCAAGGAAGGTTGGTGCCATGGCTTAACCTGAATATGATAATTAATACCCAGACTAATCGGAAGAAACAAACGGTGAACGAACAAATTAACATTGATTATGGGAGGGTAGTTACGTATTATTAATATTTGCATTTTTTTTTGTATATTGATATTGATATTGATATTATTTTTTTGACGATTCAGTACTGTTACACTATTAGAAAAAAATTATTTATCTAAAATAAGAAGACAGCTAAGGAATAATAAATTTTGATAACAAGTAGTAGTAATAATAAATAATAATAATGAGATGATAGTGATAATAAATTATTAGGTTACAATTCCATAACATTATTGTTATTAAAATCTTCATCCTCACTAAAACTTTCCCATTCACCATCATCTTCACCGTCATCTTCATCACCTTCTTCGTTAGATGTTGAATTCTTCACTGAATTTTCTATTATTTTCAATAACTCTTGAGTGTGTTGTAAAATGTCTTGATCATCATAATCTAATTTATGGTATAACTATAAATTTATGTAGAATTAATTTTTAAATCTATTATCATAATAATTGTAATAAATATAAATATAAAATAATAATTATCCAAATATTATTATTTACGTTTTTACAAGTAATCAAACACTCCTGAGAATCCTCCAAATGAATTTGCTGATCACCTTCATTTTCCGTTTCCTCACTCATACAAAAATAACACCAACCATAAAGATACCATAAATCAACCACTTGATCATTTTCTTTTTGTAAAGTCTCAAGTACCAAAAGAGCCTTTGTATATTCAGAGAGTTCCAATAACAACTTTACTAATGATATTCTTGTTTCATATGATGGTATAGATGATGATGGGTGATTATAATCTGATTCATAATTATTATTAATCCAAAGACTTAAACTCTTTTCTAAAGCAACTTTAGCTTCTTCGTTTCTTTCTTGAGAAAGTCTTACTGAAGCTAGGCATTGAAATATTTCCGGATTGGTTGGATCGATTTCTGCAGCTTGATTTAAATAATTCTCACATTTTATTTCAGCATCTGATTCATAACTAAATATGATAATGTTGAAAAATTATTAATATTTTTTTTGTAATCAAGTTATAATTGATGAATGAATGAATGATTTAAAAACATATTTACCAACAATCTGTCAAATATATTTCAACCATTGAACATAAAGCAGAAGAAATTTTACGCTTTAAAATTTCCTTTGATTTAATGTCATCATCACCATCATTATTTCCTTCTCCCGCATTCTCTCTTTGATCTTCTAAATTATTATTATTATTATTATTATTATTATTATTATTATTATTATTATTATTATTATTATTATTCGATTGATGAAATTCTTCAATCATTAGATTTACTCCTTTTTGAAAATTTGAAATTGCTTCTAAACCATTTGTCAATTGACCCATATACATGTATTTTGAGTAACCTTGATTTGGATTTATCGAAATCGCTTTAGAAAAATGCTAAAATAATATTTATCAAAGTAATTGGTCAAATACTCTTTGATTCCTTGATTGACTCGTCCTTCTTTCTTCTTGTCTTATTTTTAAACAAATGAATAAATACCTCTTTAGCTTCTTCAAACATTTCCAATTCAATTTCATTCACGCCCAAAATTTCCAAAACTTTTGTGCTGTTTGGGTCTAAACTTAATGCTCTTAAACAAAATTTCAATGCCAATTCGTAATCACAAGTATCCATTAATGAATCAACCTTGGATATCAAATCATTAATTGTGTATGGTGAGTTTGTATTTGCTGGTCCTTCATCTTTATTTGAAAGTGTCGATTTTGAGGTTGTTGATTTTATTAAAGGCGATGAGGTTAAATCATCATTTATTGATACAGAAGAAGTCATTTTAGATATTAATTTTAATTTATCATATAAATAAAAAATTTTGAAAAAGATGATGTAGATCTTTTCTTAATAAAAAAGTATATCATTATGGTCTATGATTTACCAATATAAATCAACGCGTTTTAAACATGGATGGACATAAATCGTTTATTATTATCATGAGAGGATTTAAAAAGGTAGAGATTCTTATTTATTTATTCATTTATTTATTATTATTATTATTATTATTATTATTATTATCATTATCATTATCATTATCATTATTGTTATTATTGTCATTATTATTATTATTGTTCTCATCATCATCACCAATCTAGCCTTCCGCCTTTTCCTGGAGCAAAACTTCCATTCATTGATCCACGATACAAATCTCTTATTACCTTTCCTTCAATAACAGTTGATTCTATTATGTTTTCAACATGACATGGAATCACATGACCATACCATATGCCTTGACCATCTCGATAAACTATAACATTGCCGGCATATTTATGACCTATAAAAAACAAATATGTATAGAAAAAAATTTTTATCGAATATAAAGTAGAACTTATTTTGATATATAGATAATTATATATATTTATTTATTTATTTACCTCCAGTATGACTACTTAAAAACACAGCCACACCTTCATTTTTTTTATTTTTTACATCTAAACCTCTATCTTTTAAAATTCTATCAAATTCATTTTTTAATATTGGGCCCGTTATGCCACATCTTTTATCACGACGTCTATGTGAACATATTACTATGACAGCTTTGTATGGTATCGGATCTACTTGAAAATTAGTTGAAGAATAAATATTTTGTTCTTGATTTGACAATGACGGCGGCGGCGGCGGCGTTGATGATGGTGATGGTAATAAAAATTTTTTAAAAAATTCTAAAGCATTTTTTGGGTTTACATTATAAATTAAAATATTATCAGGGAATAGAAGAACATCATTCCCTTTTGAAAATTTTAAATCTTTATCAGTGTTTACTCGATCACAGTTAGTAATAACTATACGAAGCAATTTTTCTAATTCTATGTTATTATTAGTGATGCTGTTATCTTTATCTTTATTGTTGTTGTTGTTGTTGCCAAAATCTTTCGCATTGTAATCATTATCACCTGAATCAACTTTTTTTCTTTCGTCTTTTTTGTCGCTATCACTGCCATCACCACCAGATTTAATAATTTTATGTAATTGACTTGCTAAGCTTGCAGAATCATCTTCTATTCTAATTATCCAGTCGGTTTTACCTGTTGAAATTAAAACATGTTTGAAATAAGGTTTTACTGTGCCTTCTAATGAAGAATCATAATCAATTTTAAGATATGAAGGATATGAAAGATGAGTTGAACAAGGGTTCATACAATCAAAACATGGATTATTATTGTGTTTATAATCATCTTTTAATGTAAGTATTTGGTCTTGTTGAGGAGTGTTATATAATTGAATATGATTATTGGTGTCGTTATTGTCCTTGCCCTTGTGCTTATTATTATTGTTGCTTTGAGCTTCAAAAGTTTGTGGTGGTGAAGAACGTATTAGTAGAGAGGCAACAGATTGTATAACGTTGGAAAATCGAGTATTTAAAAAATGAATTGGTCTGCTGTCCATTGAAAAAAATTTTATTTTTTGGAAATAGAAAAAAAACCTTTTCGTTTATTCTTAAAAAAAAATTATTAAATATAAAATAAGTTATCAGATTTTTTATTATTTAAAATTATAATTATCAGATTTTTATGCCCGATGATTGATTATCAGATCATTCTTACCGAATTAGAACTGACAATTATTTATTCTACAAACTAACTAAGCCTTCAACTTTGTCACCTCCATACCTCGTTTGAATTTTGAGGAAAAAAATTTAACCAAACATGGAAAGAATTATTGATAATATAAAATTAATGTTGTGATTTTTGGAGGAGGGTTTTTGTCTTACATCATTAAGTGAAAATTTGAAAACGTCCTTATAAGGATGTGTGGTTGTAACTATAGTGTGTGAGCTTATGTTTATTTTTATATAAAAATTTATATATATATTATATAATACTTGCAAAATTTACTACAAAAAAGGTAAAGGAATTCATTGAAAATTTTTTGTTGTTGGGGAAGATTAGCTCTCAAAATAGAAAAATTTAGTCCTATGGCTGGCTTACTTTATGGAAAAATATATAATTATGACTGAACAAGATCCTAATGGTAGTCATATTAAATGCTTGACCGTCAACTTCATTGATCACTCTTTACTCTTCATTGTTGGAGAAACCTCGGTTTTCTACAAGGTCAACCAAATGATCAAATGTTAAGAACAATATTTGTTACATGGTCTTGTTTATGAATGCAAAGTTATATATAGCATATCTCGGTCATTAGTTGCTGCAGAAATATAAATAGAAACCTCATATATACAAGTTTTTTTTACAATAAATTTAAAATTCCTTTCTTCAAATTACAATTACGAAAACGACACGATTTTTATCAGCAACAAGAAGAAAAGCAACAAAGTTCACTTGATTTCCATTATCTATATAGAAATAGTCTCTATCTTCTAACCATCTTTAATGGTATCATTCGTAATATAAATTTTTGGAAGATTGTCATCAAGGTAACAATCAGATTTTAAAAATTTCCTGCATTTCACTGCATCGAAACAACAACATCATATTCATCATTCATCACCAAAAGGTATGTATTCATTTATATGTAAAATATTCAATCCAACGTTTAAATTTTTATATTTATTTCTCTAAACTCTATATTATCAAAGACGTTGTTATAATGAATAATAATATATTAATAGCTACTGATAAAAGAAAATCTAGTCAAGGTTCTGACAATTCAATAAGTGAAATAGAAAGGGAAAATATTAATAAAAATATAATGGCGACAACAACAATAACAACACCTTCCACAAAAGAACAAACTTAATAATGATAAAGTCTTCCTTTGAATAAACCTCTAGGTAAATGTTAACTAATGTATTGATTACACATGTGTTTACTAATATTATATCATTTTCATTAGATTATTAATATCTCTATTTTTATCTATATTGCTAATAAACAATTTTATTGATTCACATCCAAATATTCAATCAGGAATTGCTTCATGTTCCCAGACCAAATTTTTTTCAGTCAGTATCGAACGTTTTGGCAGGCATTGAGAAAAAAATATCACAATTGTTTTGTCTAAATGGGCCCATCTTAAAGATCAATATTGCTATCTTGGATTAGAAGGTAAATAAATATTTTATTGTGTGATGAAAATATGATTTTGAAGATTATAGATAGATCTTCAAGGTGCTGAGCATTATAATTAATTATATAATTATGGAATTTATGGTAACTAATATAATTTACGCACGTGCACATTTTTTCTCTCTCTCAGAAATTAAATAGGCTGCAATTATTGATTACACATACCGTTTTTACTTCCACTGTGGATTTTCCTAGAATAGCATTCTTGTAAATAATCGATCATACATCAAGATTAAGCATGATATTTATTTTGAAGTTGGTTGAATATTGGTAAAAAAGCCATCTGAGAAGCTGTAAAGAAATTTAGTGATGGAAAACATATGGACAAACAATTGTAAATGATTGGGCTAGAAAGTAATTATCAAAAGTTTTTGGGAGGCGATGTTATGTGGATAAGTCGCAATTTGCTTACCGAGAAACTATTAAAAGCAAAATGGACCGTTTTTAGTTAAATTTATCCTCACCAGCAATTGCAACTATTAATCTTGAAAAAATAATAAATACTGAGTACATCCTCGTTATCATCATCATTAGCTAATTCAGTTTTATCTTCTGCTCTTTTGCATGATCTGGAAATGTGTAACGGTTGGAAATTATATCATCATGGAACTTGTGAAAAAAATTGGCGAACAGAATTTCCATGTAATTTTTGTAAGCATATTAATGTAAATGATGACCAAGTTTTTTATCCAAGTAAAAATGTTTATTCATGAGATATCGCAAATAAGTATCCAGGAAAACGATGGAATCTCATTGCCAAGTATTTATTTTAGTTTATTCAAAGTATGTTTTTACAAAATTTAAAATGATGTAACAAATTCATTCATATTTAACTTTTTATAGTTTCAATCATATTAGTATCTAAGGCTCTGAACGAGTCAGCTCGAAATTTAATATGATTATTTTACGATTTTTGCATACCATTGAAAATAATCGAACAATTAAAATAGAGTAACAATAATAAAACTAATAATAATAAATTGTATGGACATTATCAATAATAATTTTATGACGGACTAAAAATTCCGAAAATTCCGAATTCAAGATTCAAGATTGTACTTTTATTAAAAAGTGTTCTTTATGTTCTGAAATATATATGCATACAGTCGTTTCAACGAATCTACTATATACAACATTTAAAATTCCTCATACCAAAATTACCAATCACGTTTAAAATTCGTTGAAACGAGGTTCGATTGTATAAAACTTGCTCAGATATTTGCGGAGAATTAAAACAAACGTTTAAAAAACCTTCGCGAGTCAGTTATTCGAATTACAACTCAAATATTAACAATACAGTAAAATTTTACAATCGAATGTGCAATCCCCACCGAAATTGAGACAAAATGTTAATATAATCTGATCCTCAAAGTCAAATTTTGCCTTTATGTAGAAATTTGTTTAAATGCGTCCATTGCAAGTAAAAGTAGCAATAAATGTCCAAATAATTACATTATTATAATGGTTTGTTGACTTAGGTGTGTCTTTTATAGTAAAATCATTTATTTTAAAAATAATATAATAAATAAATAGATAAATTTATACATTTTATTCCTACATAAATAATAATTATTAGAATAATCAAAATAATATAACTGTCAAAGCGTCTTCGACATCTGTAAATTCACGATGATCAAATGTCGCATATTGTCTAGGAGCAGTTGTCAACAGTTATACTGCCTCTCTTTACCGTTGACACTTTCTTGTAATTGTTTTTGATTAATAATGATTACATACCAATCATTTGTTATGATTGTTATGATTACAATTTAGTATTAGTAATAATAGGATATTCCAAAAAAAAATAAGCATAAATACAAAAAAAAGCACTTCCGGTTATTAAATAAACAACTCTTCTTCAGAACCATGTCAACCAAATAACACTTCTAATAACACTTCTAATATATTTGTCAATGAATGCCTGTTCACTTGTCTTGGACTTTTTCATCTAAAATAAATTATTTTTTACAAATAAAAAAATCAATTCGCCTCTAAAAAAAAAGAAAAGCCAAAACAACGAAAAGTAGCAAAGAAAAGAACCAAAGAAAATAGTTTAGGAGCTTCCCTTGAGTAAGAATCGTTTTTATCATTTGAGAGTTATTCTAGTTATTATTATTTAAAAAAAATAGCCAAGTTTTGATTATATTTTTAGACTGGCCCGCTCCCAACAAAAAGAACAAAATTATGCTCTTTTCGATTGATAAGATTGATTATTTTGATATTAAGATGAATTGGAATCAAAAAACGATTAAAAGAATTAGAAAAAAAAATTGCCTTTATCGTTACATTATGATTCTATTATATGTAAATTAATAGTTAATGTTCCCAATGAAATATAACAATTTTACCAACAACCGTTGAAAACTTGGAGGTAGGTGACAAACATTCTTTTGATGCTTTATTGGATTAATACATGCACGAATTTCGAGCGACATCCTGTAGGTTGTCTAATATATCAATATATATAATCATGTGTATCATTCATTTGGTTTTTGATTGCGTGAAAATGAAATCTGCGAATTTGCAATTCACGTACGTGAAATTCAAATTGGCCAATCAGAATTTCATATCCAAACACACCACATAGTTTCAATTTCACATACAACAAGTAACACAAAAGGAATTCTCGAGCGAGCTACCTCGATTTTGAAAAAAGTGACCAAGTTATATGGGATCCAAGCATCTACAATACAAGACCACACAATTTGTTCCTGGTATGTCAAAGACATAACTAGGTATGTGATTAATCATTGTATTTCTGACTTGAAGGCCAGAAATCGTTTAATTTTGGTGGAACGGTTCAGTTAATAAACTACAAAGATATTTTTATTAATAAAAAAAAGCTATTTTACATTTTTGAGTCCTGATAGAGAACATGCACATTATGAAAAATAATTGTAACGATATATGACTAAGAATGTCAAAAATATTATTATGACTATGAAAAGGTGATGTAAATCAGCTTTAGAATATTTCAAATGAATTTATTCTTATTTAATGGCTTGCCATTTTTAAAAATCACTCATAGAAATAATACATACAAAATCGAATAGCAATGAACGTGTTATTTTGTATATGGCAACGGATGATGATTTATTATTATAATTATTTGTAAAAATTTGAGTCCGAAAAAAGTTTTATGTTGTAAAGCAAAATAAATGCTACTATAAAGATTAGTTATTTTTTTACTGATACGATATACAAAAATTTATTGATTAAACTCTTGCTTTCATTTTGGATAATTTCCAACATTCGACATCAACATCATCAATTCGTTCTTTTTTTTTTCGATTGTGTACTTGCATTTTTATTTATTTAAAGTTTCTTTCAATCACGGGATTGGAAAAAACAATTTAGCAAGCTTTTCATTAACATTATTAATATGGGAAAAAAAAGCAAAAAAAAATATAAAAAGAATAAATTTTTTTAAAGAAAAAATTTAAAAAATAAAAATAATAGGAATAATAATAGAAAATCATGACGGAAAAATCGATTGAAATTATTGAAATTGAAAATAATAATAATACAAAATATTTAAATGAAATACAAGTATCTGAAGAAAACCTTGTTTATTCTGTAGATTCTGAATCAAATAATAATAATAATAATAATAACAGTAGGAGTAATAGTAATAATGATGATAAAATAGATACAGAATCATTAGAATATGTAGTACCAGATGGAGGATATGGATGGGTAATAGTGCTTGTTGCATTTATGGTAAATGTAACAACTATTGGACATAGTTATACATGGGGAATATTTCAAGATTATTATTATAAAAATGTATTCCACGAGCAAGTTTCTACCTCTTCCTTATTCTTCATCGGGTCAATAGGTATAAGTTCTATTTTCTCATTAGGTCCATTTTTCACCTATCTAATAGATAGGTTTGGTCATAAACCTTTGATGATCACAATACTTTTTGTAATTTCTAATATAATAGCAAGCTTTGCCGTAGCTGTTAGTATTTTTGATTTTTATTATTAGGTTTTTATTTTTTTGCGAAAAAATTTTTAATTTATTTTTTCGAAAAAAATAAAAATAATAAAAAGGTTTGGCAACTATTCTTAACCCAAGGACTATTATGGGGTATATCATGTTCGCTTGCATTCTATTTGTGTATTGTAACATCTTCATTATGGTTCGTTAAGCATCGAGGATTAGCAAATGGCATTGCTATAGCTGGTGGTGTTAGACCTTTGATTTATTCACCAATATTATCCAAATTATTATCTAGCATTGGTCATCAATGGACAATAAGTATTTTTGGTTTATGGGGAACTATATTATTGTTAATATCAACAAAATTTATACGCCTTCCGCCTAATTACCATTTAAGAAATAAAAACAATGATTTGTCGTCGTTGTCAAAGAAACAACAGATTTTAGATTTAAGCATATTTAAAATTCCTGAATTTGTTGGATTAGCTTTGGTTTCCTTATTTATGTCTTTTGGATTTTTTGTATCATATTACTCAATACCATGTAAGCATAATAATTAGTTATTAGTGTAATAATCATAACAATAATAATAATCATAGCATTTGCCACATATATTGACATTTCAGAAGGAACCAGCGCTATAATTGTTGGTGTTGCAAGTGGAATGAATGTGTTTGGTCGAATAATGTTAGGCTATTGCGCTGATAAATTGTAAGTTGGATTGATTGATTTTCATTTTTATTATTAAAATTTTAACCAAAAAAAAAAAAATGTTAATAAATTAGAGGTCGAATGAACACCTGTTTTATATGCACTTTTTCATCCGGCGCTGTAGTACTATTAATATGGACATTTTCAACAACTTTAGCAC